CGACCCGCGCTGCACAAACGTCTTCCGAATAAAGGTCAAAAGTATCACACAACCAGAAAAATAAAGTACCTCCAACGAAGGAAGCGTGAGACCATCACAATTTTTGACCTCTGACCGCAAACATGTCAGTCCCGCCGAAAAATACCTTACGGCAGGAAGCTGGCAGCAGTTTTTCCTAAATTCAAGGTACCTTCTTCCCAATTTGCCACGTAACACTTAGCAAACAAATCGTTTTCATGGATTTCGCAGAAGAATTAAAAGGCTTTCTATTGTGGCGATTTCTACCTTTGTTTTACTTCCATTATAACACTACGTATTTCATCAATTGCATAATCATTTTTTGTTTGAATACGGAAAACTACAAAAACGCGCACTTGTACAATTTCTCATAATACAAGTGTGGTCGCGTGCTTCGACTCTCTCTTCTGATTTCGCTCGCGCTTGCAGCGGTCATTCGCGAGTCTCATGTACTAACTCTGGTACCAAAACATTTCAGACATCTTCGGAATCTATTATGTGTGGGAACTGTTCAGAAGAAGACCTCTGGACCAACATAATTGGATTATTGCTTATTCGCTGACCTGGGCCAACGACGAACTATTTTAAAGGGAACAATTGGTAATGAGTCTGTTCCATCTGATCTCTTTAGTTTTGTATACCCAACCTAGCGTAATCATTTTTATTTCTTTGCCACACACTCCTGGTAAACTAACTTATTGGGTAGCCAGACCACTACGCTATCATGAATGTAGTCCAAACGCTCAGGGGTAGCTCCATAAAGTCGCACAATTAAAATCTGTGTGCAAAACTATTCCTACAAACTCTAGGAGCCCCACTGATTAGGAAAAATTCAATGACACTCTTCTGTAGCCATACTTCAGGGGCATTTGTATTACATGGCGTTTTTTGGTAAAAATAACATTTTTGTTAAATAAGTTGCGGAAGGCTGTGTATTGGGCGCTACTTGCATTCACGTATTCACGGATTGATACACAGGATCGGGGCTTTGCCCAAGTTTCCCGGGTCACTTCTGTACCTGTCGGTCAGTGGCTGTCGTTCACCCGAAATGCACTAGTGAAAAAAGGGTGTAGAACTGCTCTTTATGCTCTCAGCGTGGGGCAGTGTGTTTGCCAGCGCAGAGATTTGCATAGATAAATGCTTGGTTGCGCTTTGAACTGGGTTCTAGGAGGAGCGTAGACGACCGCCGGAGGAAGGATATTTCACGCAGCTACTACCCGGAATGATAAAAAATTTTGTCTAATGAATGTGTGTGCTCTGAGCTTGAAAAGTTTCCTACAATGTCCCCGCCGTGTGTTTGCTGGGTCAACGGTAAAAAAACCTGTTGGCCAGGCTTTGTTCGAGAAGGGTATAAGTAAGATTTAGGTCCTCTTGGAGGCGACGGTACTCCAGGGGAAAGAGATCAAGCATCGCGAGACGCGTTTCGTAGTTCACGGATTTGAAGCCGGCAACCATTCTCGTAGCGACCCGCTGGACACGCTCAATGCGGGTGACGTCTTTCGTGCGCCCTGAGTAGACAACTTGTTTGGCGTGCTCCAGTGGCGGTCTGACGTAGGCCCCATAGAGTATTTGGAAGTTATTGTAGTTCACAGTAAGCCAGAAGAACGCGTAAGTACGGACACGGGTGTATTGGGTACACGCGGCCAAACTGGTCCGCTTTCGTGGCAGGCAAACAAAACAACTGAGTCACATATCCAGTCAACCCACAGCGCTCACGCAAGCCAACCAATCGGACACACATCCAATCAGCTACTCAAGTCACATGATCGATCGATGGTGGAACGACGAACGGACACGCACACGCGCAAACTCTCTGACACACCGAAGCAGCTACTAGACCTAGTTTCAGAAATCGAATTTCAGCTACTAGACCTAGTTTCAGAATACAATCGAATTTGCCTACGAAATTTCCATAGCTACATTCAAAATCAGCTAAACTTGTCATTGTGTCGGCACATCATTCGGTCGGGTGCTATATGTTGTGGGCTCAAGCTGATCGGGAAAAAACAAGTTAATCCTAATGACACTGGAACATCAAATAACAACATAGCATCGAGCGAGATGGTCCAAGGGATTAGAGCGCAAATTTACTTACCGGAACGTCCGCGGTTCGGACCCAACCTTTGCTTCTAGACTTCCCCTGTCTAGGCTTGGGCAACCTGACAATATCCCAGCCCTCGTGCAACCTTCGGGTGACATGACACTTAGGCACCAGAAGGGTGCTACAAATGAACAATTTATTATTATTATTATTATTTCAATTCAAATGGTCAGATACACTGTCAGACATGGCCCAGTTGCGCCCTTAATGGCGCCCGTGCATCCAAGCTATTGCCTTCAGTGCATAGCTCCCTTCCCAATCTCCCCACTTGACAGCGCACTGACAGTGCTGGATTTATGTACCAATTTATCATCTCCCGCCTGCAATGCGTAGCTACCTACACCCCGCCAAATCATCGGTGAACGAAATTGCGGCAGCTACAACCACTGTACGACGAGTATGCGATTATTGCGGCTGACAATGATGAAAAAATGAAGGACGCTACAGCTGACCGAACGAACATAGACTCGTTACACAGCAGTTGATGCAGTCGATTATGGAGAGGATATATGCTCAACCCGATGTGCAAAAGCCCGCACAAACCCACGCTTAGTGTTTGTACTATTTTTGTCATTTTATTTTTTTCACTCACAATGTCATTTTCGATGATAAACCTGCGCTTGAAGGTTTTTGTGGTTGGCTCCCTCATCTGCTGGACGTAACCGATAGTACTCAAACCGAGGATATTCTGTGGATTCGCGACGTTTACCTAAGTCTGGATGTGGAAGGTACTAAAGCCAAAGTGAAGAAGGTGTAATGTGATGGTTCAGTCGGAATACCGTCGAATTTCGAATCTAAACACTGTCTGGACAATGATTATGACAGTTTTGTTCTCTGGCTATGTGATTGATTCGACATTCTCGCCCTAAGCCAAGTGTTCCTGGTGGATAAGCATGCAAGCAAAATTTGTGATGGAAATGAAAGAGATGGAGATAAGAAAACAGAGATTAGATAATCAGAAACAGATGTTTTTGGACTACACATCCTCTGATGAAGGGTGGATTATAACTGATGTAGACATGGAGCTGGTAAGGTTTGGAATATTGGTAGCTCGGGTGTATTGGTTGGTAATTGATCAGGTGGCTGTTGATCTGTTCGCCGAGCTTGGCAATTGATTTGCAAACGTTTCGTCACCATTCGAGGAGACATCTTCAGTGCGCAGTTGGTTGGGTAGTTCCTCTCTTCGTGCCTGCGTTTATATAGTCTACAAAGAGCAGCCTTTGCGCTGTAACCTGGATTCTGATTGGCCCGTTCTTGATCTGTATTGCGTCGTGGTCGGCTTCTCTGTTGGTTTGTGGCGTGCCTCCTATTTTTAGTAGCCTGCTGTTCTATTGATTTCTTCTTTGAGTCCTTGTCCGGCCTCGGGTTCTGTGGTTCTGGATTTCCTTTGTCCTCAGAGGCTGGTAGGCAGGATCAATCTCAATGTGCCTGTTTATTGCTCCACCAGTGGAGTACCACGCCTCCATGAACTCGCGTTCTTTCTTTGTTCTTGCTTGGCCCAGTATTCTGACGTTATTCCAATCGAAATGGTGTCCTTCCCCATCTTCGTGTGCAGAGATGAGAGAGAGTTGGTCATGTCTCTTGGTGGCGAGCTTATGTTCGGTGATTCTGGTTGACAGTTTCCTCCCTGTTTGTCCCACGTAGTGTTTTTCACAATCATTGCATTGAATTTTGTAGATTATATTTGTCTTTTCCATTGCATTAAGTGTCCCCTTTGGTTTTGATAGTACTCTTCGCAGCGTGTCAGTCGGTCTGTGGGCCACTTTTATGGCATGCTGTTGTAATATCCTGGCGGTCATCTCCGAAATGTTTTTGATATATGGTAATGTGATTGTTTTGCTTGTGTTTCTGGTTGTCGCGTTGGTTGAATTGCATTTTCTCAGAGATCTCCAGACGAAATTCCTTGGGTAACCGTTCCTTTGAAACATTCTGTATAGGCGTTTCTCTTCTTTTACTTTAGATTCTACTGTGTTGCAGTGTGTTTCAATTCGCTTGAATAGTGTCCGGATGCAGCTCTCTTTGTGGCAGTTTGGGTGGTTGCTGTGGTAGCTCAGAATTTGATCCGTGTGCGTAGCTTTTCTGTAGACTTCCGTTTGCATTTGTCCGTTCGGCAACCTTGTGACGAGGACATCTAAAACCGCCAGCTTGTTGTTGTTTTCTTCTTCCATCGTGAACTTGATGTCATCGGAGACACTGTTTATCAATTGGATTGCTCGTTGTAGTTCTCTCTTCTTGATGATGACAAAAGTGTCGTCTACATAACGTACCCAAAGCTTCGGGTTGATGTCCGGCAACACGGTCCTCTCCAGGTTTTGCATTGCGATCTCGGCGATGAACCCTGATATTGGGGAACCCATTGGTGCTTCTTTCAATTGTTCGTAGTATCCACCTTTGAATTCCAAGTACGTGGTCAAACAGAGGCTGAGCAATTCACATATGTCTTCCTTCCTTAGAGGCCCACTGGGAGGTCCTGACTGTACAGTTTTTTAGAGATAGTGTAAGTACTGTAGCTAGATGTGTTGCTATTATTCTGGTAGGGTGAGAAGCAGTAAGGGGATACATACCGTCCGGATTTGCATTTATGCGCTGTAAAGTGTTAATGTTTCACATTTTCCACAATAAGCACGCCACAAACCAACAGAGAAGCCAACCACGACGCAATTCAGATCAAGAACGGGCCAATCACAATCCAGGTTACAGCGCAAAGGCTGCTCTTTGTAGACTATATAAACGCAGGCACGAAGAGAGGAACTACCCAACCAACAGCGCACTAAAGATGTCTCCTCGAATGGTGACGAAACGTTTGCAAATCAATTGCCAAGCTCGGCGAACAGATCAACAGCCACCTGATCAATTACCAACGTGGATCTATATCCAATAGAAACAGCTTTGAAAGTTTTACTGCAAAACTCATGGTGGAGAAACAGAACACCTGCGACATGCTACAAGTAAAAAACGTGCCGTTGCCGTGGTTCGACATTTTGTAACCTTATTTTACTTGGTATCTACTCTATCTAATGTAGTGACAATTCGCTTGATATAACAGTGGCAACAGTGCTGTACAACTACCAATGGAGAGTGACGCGATGTTAACATTTTGACCGTGTGAGCGATTTTATTGAGAAAATCGCCGGCGTCTTCCTCAGACAGCCTAAGTACTCAATTTGCATTCCCGAAGATCTGGAAGTATGCGCGAAGGCATCAATGATTTGCAGGGCGTAGCCGAAACGGGAGAACTAAATAGATCAAGTTTTCAAGAGAGACCAACGACGATTCTGTATCCAAAGTAACTGGTATCCGGTTTGAAACGAAAGTAATATCAGCCTGTCAATAGACTGCTCCGTTTTGGTGTGAACTTCACTTTGCTGTGGTCTAACAGTTCAGTTCCTTGCGGCATTTACATCACTTTCAATGGATCACCAATCTACCTTTAGGACTTCCATACCCTCTCGAACTATTTCATCTTGACCGCAACGAACTCTATGCGACAGGCCTCAGTAACAAAACTGACTATGAAATGCGACCAAAAGCTGACTCACACAGAAACATCTGGGTCAACTTTTATTTTCTACTCTAGCATCACACGTTTAGTGAGCGCACCAAACGGAACAGACAGCAACATCACTGATAAATTACAAAAAGATTGAAAATACCTTGAGAAAGGTGGCACAGTTCTTGGATCATATTTCCCAATGTCGAAATTTCAAAGATAGCTAGTCTTTTGACAAGCTTTACTAAGAATTGGAGATATGTATATCACCTACACGAAGTAACTTGAGTTCTTAGTTTCATAGTGATGGTCCATGGCAGTTTGAACCGTTTAAAATATCAGCAGAAATCGTTGTATGTTCTTTCCTGGGATCTACCGGCAATGAATTCAGTTTTTAAAACGCAGTCGCATAAGCAGCATAAGTGGTGCATTATCGTGGTCGTAAGCACAAAATCCTTTCACGAGACACTAACTAATTTTCCAAAGAACGCTAGGAAGTCAGCTGATCCCCGATGATGGGGATTATCATAGAATCGTCCG